CGGCTTTAATTGGGGTCACACAAGGAAATGGCGGCAACAAATCAGTTTCGTAATTTATGGATGATCGTGGGAGTAGACACTTTGAGGAAAATACGGAGGAAAGCGGATGAAAAGTTATGGCTGAGTGGAGGTGTGCACTTCGGTGATTGGCCCGTTCACCAGCTATTTGCCGACGCTCAGCTTGAATACAAGAGACGTTCTGGCGAAACGAACCCAACCTGACCCACCGCCTCCGCTCCTCAGCGATAGTAGCGAGTCGGTGTGCCTCATGTGGATGCAGTTGTATTCGGTCCCACTTTTAAAATAGAAAGATCGACAAGCTGAGTCGAGGGGACACCTTGGAACAAGGAAGTAAGGGATGAAATATTGCATGTGCGTTTACATTCCATGGTGTGGTCTTCTCACATATGGCCCAACCAGTTGGACTGGAAACGAAACTCGAACAGAGTTGAGTCACACAGACATACACGGCATTATTCGTTACAAATTAATTGTTAGTTGATAACCATAATTACAATTCACATCATTTGATGTTTAAAAGCTATTGTGTAATTTGGAGCAGTTGGAAAAATTCCTTGGGAGTCGATCTTTTGTGAGTTCAATTAAACAGGAGAACTTGAAGTCTCACCCACCATTTACTTTGCGTCTACCTGATGAGCTCCAAAAGTGTCGAGACCGATTGTGGACTACGCAAACGTTTTCAGTAAGTTTACTAGTGATGGGTGTATGGTTCGTGAGATTTGAAATATCGTACCGACCGAAACACGACGTGGCCCATTGGAGCACATTCATTTGCGTGAATACATCATGATCGAGAAATTCATCTCAGTTCCAGGTGAATCTACCTTCAGAATCAAATTGATCCGCAAAAGGAGGCACGTTTCGTTTCGAAAGCCCTCTGCATGTGTGATCAGAGTAAACAGACATTCTTTATGTTCGAACACATGTTCGCGACACTCAGCTCACTTAATTTCAAGCACTTTACTTTTTGGATTATTCATCATACCGATAATTCATCTACCTACATGGCGACAACGTAAGCTAGTGTGTTCGAACGAAACGTGTTTTTCGTACCTAAGAACGACCCAGATTTTGGTTTGTATTGGAAGGTTGTGAGACACGAATTCCAAGCTAAAATTTCATTGGCTGGAATAGTTAAACAACCCTGCAGTCTCACTCGTGTTTATCGCAAACCAGTCAGGATTGGTCAAACGGGAAACAACCTCTGGGTTGGACAGCAGAAAAGTAAATGCCTCGGGCAGTCAGACGAGTCGACGAGCTGCCAGCTGCCAGTCTCTGAAATCATGCACCTCATCAGTTTGTTCTACGTGTCCGCTTTGATTAACCCTCATGTGTGCTTCACATGTCCACCTGATTTTCAAAAAGCGGATGAGAGTATCTGTTTCGTGCTGCGACGAAGCGATTCCAGATTTTGCTCCGCGGCCGCGCATTGCGCACGCTATGGAGAAAGCAAAAACCAACTGGTCTACCTGAGTGGCCGCAACATTGTTCGTATTGCCCGGCCACTGGTAGACGATCGTGGTGTGCTAACTGGACTAAACTTTCTGCTCGAACCACCAAATATTGGAACACCAGTATGGCGCGATTTGGATCCCAACAATCCGGAATATGCGGCCACCGAAAAAGGCGTCCGATACCAGCAACTTCCCAAGGGACTGACTTGGCAGGGTTTCTCCCTGTGGTTACCAGGCGAAAGGTTAATTCGCGATGAAACCTTCCACGATTCACGCAATCTCCCTGTAACCGTTTGTGAATATGGGGGGAATCTTCCAGATGGCCACCGCAAGGTTCGATTTCTCAGCAATTTCCCAAAACCATTGTCGGTACTCGTGCATTCAGAAAGGAATTTGTCTGGCTGCGAACATGTAGTGGCCGCGAGGACGAAACTGGATTGTGCACACAGGTGAGTAAATAATCACGTTTCAGCGCGTTTCAACAACCTAGTTTTCTTGATATTAGACCTCACGCAATAACACTCTGAGATCAGCAATTTTCGTTCCACATTATTTGAGCAACTTCGAAATATTTTGGGTTTCCTGCTTTGGGCTCATCATACAGGCGTGGTCATCGTAAATATTTATTGTCACTTTTAATCGTCATTCAAATTGATTTCCTCCATTTCACAGGCGGGATAATCGAGGCGGTTTTTTGAGTTGCTCCATGGCATGAAATGCGCACGCACTGACAATTGCTTCCCTACACTTGATCTCAGATGCGCCCTCAAACCAGCGTGTCGATCCATCTACTACGACAGCGGAAGCAACAGCTGCGTCCACATGATGTACGCCGACTCGCTGCTGTCGATGTCGAGTGCGAAACGCGGATCGGGTTGGGTTCGTTTCGCAAAGACGTCCGTTGCAATGAACATGAATGGCGAAAAGTAGCTGGTCGATATAAAACTACCTTCTGGGAGCAAAACTACAACGCGAAATTCTCGCGCGGATTTCTCTGAATGTGTGATCTCATTACCCTTCAAAATACTCAAACTGATTTGTTGTCGCATTCTTCTTGTATGAATTCATATTTTTTGTTTGTCGTTTCCGTTTTGTCAGGTTGGTGTTTGACCATCAGTCTCGATTTAACTCTCCTTACCCCGCTTGATGTCTTGTCTTGTTTATTACTTCCCCAGTGGAATTTATCAATGTCTCCAGCTCGCCAGCTGTGCATTTGCGTGTTGTTTTAGTGACGACGTTTGATGTGATTTTTAATACCGAAAACCGATAAATTTTGTGTTTCTTGGTCTTGGATCTTACTCGCTAGCGAATTCGGCTACAACTTCATCGCCCTCATCATCATGTCAGCACGATATCCGTGGTAAGTAACTAGGTTAGTTGATGTTCGTGTGGGTAGTTGAGAGGAAATTATTTCCGCTGCCATATGACAGATATTTGGGAGTGCACTCTGCTACACAGCACAATTCCGCGAAGTCTGCTGCTTTCGTTTTGAGTTTACCAGTGTCCTCGTGTATTGTTTATGATCTCGCTGACTACCGTTCTATCGGGCTGTAGCAACACTCTTGCAGCGTTTCACAAGACCCTTGGATATGATTGTCCTCGGTTTCACGGTAGTCACTATTCTGTTTAATATAGGAATATGAAGCGACGGCGGCAGCAACCTCATCGTTAGGTTTCAGGGAATGCGATGCGATTCCATTGTTCACCCTAAACCCAACCACCACATCAGCTGGTTATTTGTATGCACGCTTTCGATTCCGTACAATGGACACGGTGCAAACTCGAAGTGGCACATTTTACTATCCTGATGTCCGGGGCAACATTCTCGCTCTGCTGTATCACTCTCTCTCTTCGAATCGACATTGTCCAAAATATTTACCTCACAATCCAGGTGACACAACATCCGAGGTATCTCAACACATTGAATGTGTTGAAACACACCACTGTCAGATGAGCTTACAGTTAGGCGATCGTCTGGAGGTCGACTCAACCCGGGAGACTTCACCCAGTTGCTGTCGGACAATATTGGAGGAACTGGTGTTTGGCTGTCGGTATGTTTGCGGCAATAATTCGGGAATGGCGTGTCTGCGAGGAAAATGCTAGCACTGACGCGAAAAATTCTTTGTTTCGTTTGGATGACCCTACGGAAAAAGGCATTAGATATTTCCATCTGCGATGTGTCGCCAATTCCTTGCGCGGTACGTTCGTCCGAGTCATCTGCACTGAGTACGCCGGAAACATTATTTGAGGATAACTTTGGGTAAAACTTCCATATCATAGCCTAACGAGTGATGACACGAAACACGTCACTGATTCCAGGACACACAGGTAGTCACCTTGTGGATCAAGGTGACACTGCTCAGTTGACACTGCGACCACAGTACAACCTGCTTGACGTAACACTAAAACGCCCCGTCTGGTTGTTGCTCAATGTTTCTTACAATATTTGTGTTGTTTTGGTGAAACACCCACAACTGATTCACTTGCGTCTTCCTAATGATGGAAAATCACGTAGCTCGTCAACTCACTTTTAAGGTAGCTCATGCGTGCTCTGACTCATTTGAGTATAGGGTCCATGGTCCACGTGATTGTCACTGGATTAGAAGGTCACGTCATTGTGCTAGTGTTAAGCATTGTTCGAAGGCACCAGAAAGCTCTGATCCTCTGATCCAGATACATTATATAGTTGTCCCCTTTCAATTCGTTACTTGCGACTGGCCCATTAAATTGTCTGAATTCCGTTGCACAACTGCATACTGCCACGAGTTTAGGTTTTCCAAACGGTCGGGACACGGTAGCTGTCCGCCCTAAATAAGTTTCAAGAAAGAGTGTAAAAAAGTCGCTGTTCAAGCCGACTACCGAGCTACAATAAACTGGTAATTTATCGCCTCAGGGAGCTGGTCGCCCGAATTCGACCCTTCGTGGATTCATGCTTTTCAATATCAAACTGGTAGCTCATAAATTCGGCTGCCATGAGAAATTTGTTGAACTTCGTTTGTGCTCGTGCTTGCACGCATGGGAACAGCGAAATGCTTCTTCAGGTATTGCAAAGTTTTGTTTTACTCAGTTGAAGCTACATCCACAGTACAACCTACTCCCCGCTTATTGTGTTCTAATTTTCTTATCATGTTCGAGCTCCTTCGCTAATACACCAAAAATTGATGAAATCGACCATATGACCACAGAGCGAAAACCCTAATCAGCAGAACATGATACAATACATCCGGCTCCTTTCAATTCGTTGCTTGTAGCCAGCGTGCGACAGCGCATTTCAATCGTCCGAATTTCGCCGTCTACGGATCAACTAATCTTAAGAATAATTCTGGCATTTTTAATCAAGTCCAATCAATTCCGACATGGATGCTGAGAAATCCTCATTGCACAGGTATTACAAACGCATCAAAAATCGAGGCCCACACATTCAGCTTTAACTCCCTTGCACATGGCCATCTCCGTTCGGTTCACAAGGAATGTGTTCGCCAACGCGCTTTTCCCAACGTGTGTCTAGCTGACATTTTGCCTTCTAAGAGTGAGTTGGGTCATTCCCGAAGGTCACAACCTAAATGCTGCCCATCCAGAACGAAGTCCATGCAATTGGTTGACAGACCCGAAACTCAAGCTGACTGCTGACATACAACGAACTGGGAATTTATGGCTTTAGGGCGCCGATCGGATCAACTGCGTGCGTTCTTGGAATCATATTGACGAATATCAAAGCGTTGGCTCAAACTGAATAAATAGAGAATAGGGAGATCTGTCTGACGTGAGAGTTTTATTTTGAACCTCGTTTATGCACAGTTTGAACACGCAAATGTTCTTTCATGTTTTATAAGCTTCCAAATGTGATTGCCTCGTCGCAATTGTTGACGTGGATGATGATCCACTTAGAAGAGTGCACTTGCTCATCCACCATTCAGCAAACGTCTGGTAACGCTCGCAGATCGTATAGAGGTGTCGCGACGGACAGCGCTGTTTACATTTTGAATTCCAACTTTTGCTTGCACTCGGTGAATACAGTTTGCCACAAGAAGCACCTATTCCAACAATCCATCCGTTATGTTTGCCGGACAATCCCGCAGTGGCGTATTCGGACATTCATCAAATTTTTATTCGACTGCTTGTGTCTGCATACGGACAACAGAATCTCGTGTCTGTCGATTCATGCCACGCAGGAACCGAAGAATTTGCCTTGTTCCTTTGCAGTACTCCAGACCAAACTAAGTACATCTTGCACGAAAGCTGTGGTACAAGAATCCGGGAATTTGGCGTATCCAGTACCGTTTTGTGACCACTTGGAGAGGTGGTACTTCTCTACTTGACTCAGCAGTGGCTCTTCTATGGTTGCCTTGCGTATCATTTCGAATGTGATTGGAGTACCTTTGATGGCTTCCCTGGGTGTGCATTGCATTTCCGGTTCAGGTGAGATCTGATCTATAACAGAATCCTGCGAGTACGTATGGTCTATTTTCTAAAACTCTCGAAAATGCATCCGCCTGACCGATCTTGTCAGCAGATTTGAACTTGATGCTACAGTTGTTACCGAGTAACATTGTGGTGAATTAGACTACACGTTACTTGTCAGATAGGACCCCTAGATAGTGTGTTTAGGCTAATTAACCAATTCCTTGCTCTGAGATCACAGCCTTAGCACAGGATCGTACAGTAGCCCATCTTTTAAGTCGATTAGCAGAATGGACGGGAATGCCCTCCTTGGATCCGAACACGGATAATGATGGTTTGTGATCAGAAACTGAAATAAATTTGCGGTCATAATGCAGCTTGTGGAACTTATTCACAGTGAGAAAATCGCCAGGAATTTTTCTTCAACCTGACTGCAACTTTGTTCTGCAGCCGAGCCATCTTCGAACGCGTGTGAAATGACTGCTCCCACGCCGTAGCTGGGTGCATCGGTCACAACAGTGTTATCACGGGACGGGTCATAATGTGTCAGAAGCAGGTCGGAAGTAAGCCGGCATCGCATTGATTTTATGAAAACTATCCTGGCAATCAGCGTCCTAATTCCATTGAGAATCCCTGAGTGGAAGACGGTACACTAGACAGGGGATATCATCCGTTGCTGGCACAAGAGCACTATAATGACTGAAGAGTTCCAGGAATGGCCTCAATGTAGGTAAATACTCGAGTGGGGGCAAAATGGGACAACATTGAACACAGTAGCTCAGCAACTGGAAAGGAGAGCTTGCTCTTGGCCGAAAATCAGTTTGTTTGAGCTTTGTACCTCCTCATCTCCAAATTATCTTCATTAACTGATAATCGATGCACAAATTGATACATCATTTTAGGTGCAGTTGAGGGTTGTTATACCAGTGTCGTCTAAACGTCTTTATAAGTATAACATGTTGATATGCGTTCGGTGTTCACACTGAATTTATCTCGCCTCTTCTTCCGGTCCAGAGATCCCACGATCTGAGATGAAACAACGCGTTCAATTTCCTAGTCCCAACCACAGGCCTGTTTGTGAAGATTCCCGCTAAATACATTGTCCCGGGCACCAGTTGTAAACTTCGATCCTTGTGGTCACTCACAGATCGACACGCTTGGCGTATCCGTCAGCCCGGTAGAACGGAAGCAGATAAACCCGTTGAATATAGCCACAAATTAGTTCATTATCCATGGATATGACAGCGGTTGATTCCTTAGCTACCATATCTGCGGCAACGAACAAGTCCCAGGTCGGTGAGGGTCCGACAGTGCTTGATTCCTTAGCTACCCTATTTGCGGCAATGATCAATTCCCAGGCTCGTTGAGGGGGCGGAAATTCCTGGCCACAGTAGGAACATGTACCCTAGATGACTGTATATGTTTGAACGATAACCGATTGAGCCGCTTTGTTCCAAGGCTTCTGGATTCATTTAATCTACGTTATCTTACGGTATAACCCGAAACTTTGAACAGTCAGCGTCACATGCCATTTCCATTCCAGATTTTCCCATCGAATATTCCTGCAACCCAGCACGGATGACAGTTTTCCGCGTCCCGAAAGCCCATCGGCCTCGGCGAAATTTTAAAAAAATCTATCCTCGGATTCTGAAGACATGCTTTGATGTGAAGTTTTAAGTTCTGCAACTCAAGCCCGTTAATTTCCGAAAGTATGATGTTATCATCAACGATAATTTCTTTATTTCATCTACATAATTGGCTCCAACCTAAGCTAGCCTGTTCATGGGTACTGATATGCTTATGAACGACCAAGGCTGTGGTCTCTATTCGAACGGCGCGCGACACGGATTCAATGCTGAAACTTTATTGGCTGAGATAGTTGAACAAATGAGCAGATTCACTCGTGTTTATCGGGAGGCAGTGGGGATTGGCCAAACGGGAAACATCCTCTCGGTTTCCAGAGCTAACACGGGTAATAAAACAACTCAACGCGCTCGGAGCTAGCAACCGCGGAGATCATGTATCTCTTCAGTTTGTTCTACCTGTCCGTATTGATTAACCCTCATGTGTGTTTCACATGTCCACCTGATTTTCAAATGGCGAATGTGGGTGTATGTATTGTGGTGGGAAGATATATTTCTGGCTTTTGTGCTGCGGCCGATTATTGCGCACTCTATGGACAACGCAGACACCAACTGGTCTACCTGACTGGCCGAAATATTCGTCGTATTCCCCGACGCATGACAGGTGCGCGTAGTCTTCAAACTGGACTGAATTTTCTGCTCGAACCACCAAATATGGGAACACCAGTATGGCGCGATTTGGATCCCAACGATCCGGAATACACAGCCACCAAGAATGACGTCCGTCATGTGAATCGAACCACGCAGCTGAGTTCGCAAGATATCTCATTGTGGTTACGAGATGGGACAGCAATTCGCAATGTTCCCCGCTTTACACGTCGACATAGGCCTCGAACAATTTGTGAGTATGGTGGGAATCTTCCGGATGGCCATCACAAGGTTCGATTTCTCAGCAATTTCCCCAAACCATTGTCGGTACTCGTACATTCAGAAGGAAGTTTGTCTGGCTGTGAACATGTAGTGGCCGCGAGAACGAAACTGGATTGTGCACGCAGGTGAGTAAATGATCACGTATCAGTAGGCTTCCGCGACCTAGTTTTCCTGATATTAGACCCCACGCAATAACACTCTGAGATCAGCAGTTTTCGTTCCACAGTAGTTGAGAAACTTCGAAATATTTTGGCTTCCTTGCTTTGGGCTCATTACACAGGCGTAGTCATTTGGATAATCGAGGCGGGTTTTGACAGCCGGTCGTTTTGAGTGAGGGGTGTATATCGATACCAATTTTGCCATACGAAATGAAATGCCCACGCATTGACAATGGCTTCCTTATGTTTGATCTCAGATGCGCCCTCGAACCAGCGTGTCGATCCATCTACTACGACAGCGGGAGCAACAGCTGCGTCCACATGATGCACGCCGACTCGCTGCTATCGCTATCGGGTGCGAAACGCGGATCGGGTTGGGTCCGTTTCGCAAAGACGTCCGTCGCAATGAACATGAATGGCGAAAAGTAGCTGGTGAACAGAAAATCACCCTCTCTGGCAGATTCCTTTAAATGTGTAATCTCCATACCGTTGTCACATTTTGGTATCAGAAATACACAAGTTGCTATTTGTTTCCGTGTTGCTCGTTTAGTCATTGTCAAACAGTTTCAACATATCCCTCATTCCCATGACTGCCAGCTTGCTTATTCCCTCCACATTGGATTGGCTCGACAGCCGTTTCCCTTACTCCTATTGGCATTTTCTCTGGACTTCGCTTAAAATCCATTTGTGTAGTGCCTGTTAGTCACGATGTTTGATGTGCTTTTGTAATACCGAAAACCAATAAAATGAGTTTTTTTGCTTTCTCTCTTTCCCGCAATCCAACTTGTGTTCATTTCCATCAGCCTCATCATTCTGTGGGTAATAGAGGAGAAATTGATTGAGTTGCAAAGCGACAGTTTATTTGGAATATAGTCTGAGAGGCAGCTCGACTCCGCGGAAGTTCCAGCATTGTTCATGATTCCGATAGATTCCGAAGTTAGTTCGGGGTCTGGATGGACAACATCATACCCCCTCAGATTAAAACAACATACAGTTTACGGTTGTCACCATTCTGTTTAATCCGGACAAACGCCGTTATGATTTTACTATCCCGTAGAAGTCACCCACTGTGAACTCGAATTTTAAAACAACATACAGTTTACGGTTGTCACTATTCCGTTTAATCCGGACATATGCAGCGACCAATTCGGGCGGGTATGGTTTCACTCTTCCATAGAAGTCACACACTGTGAACTCGAATTGGATGCTTTGTACCACTCTAACAGCATTTGTCTTACGCCGTTGACCGATGAATCTCTCGGGCTTTACGGCCGTTTCTTTCATGGAATGATTGCGTCCTTATTTGGTGGAGAATAGATTGCTCAGCTCCGGTCCTTGTGACAACCGTGAGTGCAGAGTGCTCACTTCTTCGATTCGTGAGCTAGAATTCTCGTTGAATTTGTTCACACGTGGTTGTTAGCTCGTCACCATGCACTTGCCTTTAGAATGACAACCGTATCGGCGCTGAAGCCGCTGACATAACGAGTGTTTTGTTAGTCATCTTTAGGGTGCATTTTGCAAAGTGCGTGTAAAAGGTTACTGCTGTTCCCCTCGCTAGAATTGTCAGTTCCGGCTTACAAATTCGCAACACCTTCACATGCCGTTCACACGTGGTTGTTAGCTCGTTACCACGCATTTGCCTTTAGAATGACAACCGTATCGGCGCTGAAGCCGCTGACGCAACGAGTGCGTTTGTCAGTCTTCTTTGAGGACGCATTTTCCGAAGTGCGTGTAAAAGCTTGCTGCTCCTCCCTTCGCTAGGATTGCCCGTACGGCTTACAAGTCATGAGGTTCGGTATTCCGTTACGCATCAGAATACAGAATATTCGTTCTCTACCGAGAGTGAACTTGTACATGTGGTTGCCTGGTCACAATTGCTCACGTAAGCTAGAATGGCGACGATCAGAGCTTTGGCTGTCCCAATGTTGAGAGAAGACAGATATTTTGTTTTCCAACACGTTCGGGGACAGACGCCTAGTCTTCTTCTCAAGATAACTTCATCCATAGGAATGAGTGAATCGGCGGGCTAGGAAGCGGATTGAAGCGTTACATGCAGACAACATGTCCTGGTGTCATCTACAATGGGTAGCGATGAATGATCACCTTTTGACTAGATATACAGTTTTAGAATGGAACGTAGGACGGACATTTTTTCAGGTAAAACTGTGGATCAAACTTTAAGATCACGTCCCAATTTGGGATGAAACGAGACACGCCACTGATTCCTGGTCACACAGATCGTCAAAGATCGTGGCAAAGATTATTGTCTCAGTTGACACTGCGACCAAACAGTACAACCTGCTCCACGTAACCTATAAATGCTCCCTTTGGTCGTTGCCTAATTATCTTATAATGTTCGGCAACCCACGGGTTGTCCAGCTTACGTGAGCCATGAGCGAAAGCCTTGTTCCTCAGAACGTGAAGAATCCCTTGCTTGAGTTTTCACCATCGTGCAACTGCACAGTTTAATCGACAAAATTTCGCAGTCTACGCGTCGATTTACCTCAGGACTATACCTGGTTGGCATGTTATCTCAATAAAGGCCAGTCAGTTCCCACGTAGAAGCTGAGAAATTCTCATTGCAAAGTTTTAGAGAACGCATCAGATATCGAGGGTTTGCATACCCAGCTTTAACCCCCATGTCCATCGGCGCCTGCGTTCAATTCACGAGGAATGTGTCCGCTAAAACGCTGTTCCGAGGGTGCGTCAAGCAAAACTGTCCACATTCTGAGTACCAGAGTGAGTTGAGTTATTCCAGAAAGTCGCGACACAGCTGCCACCAATCTTGAACGAAGTCCATGGAATTGGTTGACAGAGCCGAACCTCAAGCTGACTGCTGATATACAGCAAACTGGCAATTTATTGCTTCACAGTGCCCGTCGACTCAAATCCATCCGTTCATGACTTCATACTGACCAATATCAAACTGGTGGCTCAAACTGATTGATGAGGACCCGCAAACGTGAAAATTTTGTTGAACCTCTTTTGTGCACTCTTTGAACTCGCAAATGTTTCTTAATGCTTCGTGAGCTTCCATATGTGACTGCCTCTCCACAATTGCTGCCGTCCCCCTCTTCTCATGGAGGTTTTACGTGTTTCATAACAGACACCCATAATACTTGATGCCTTCCACTGATAAATATTGAAGTCAATTCGTTACTGTCGATCAGAGGAAAGCCGGTATTCGTGAAGTTAACGTTATACTGGCTTATCGTGTCGTTCTTGGCTGTCTTATTATGTAAAAGACTTGAATCTCATAGATATTTTAGCAACTAACGCGGAGAGAACCATGCTATTCTACTGTGGCCTTTGTCGACGGATTTAAAGACGGACAGATATCTAGTCGTCTTTGGCTGTTGTCCCGGGAACTGTGCACGCTATAGGCATGTCAAACTTTTGTCGCGGAGCCTCTATCACCCACAAAGCACACAGGACAATTGGTCATCGGGCCGATAACGTTCGACGATAAGTACTGGGGGCACAAATCAGAGATACGCAGACCTAATTCAAGGGATGAATGTGCGAAATTGCATGATCGCAGTGGAAGCCGAACAAACAACACTAATCTCGTGTGAGTTTGACGGGAAATGCACAAAGTTGTCCTGCTTAATAAAACGCTTCATTTTCAACCTCATCTGGGTAGTGTGAAATATACCAGCATATAGGAAAACTAATCTCGGTAGTGTTTAGGACGTTCTGGAAAGCTCTTGGCCTGTGCTTGGGTGGTAGTGGAAATCTGAAAATCTCTTTGGGGTCTCTCATGAGGAAGTGTTGGAAACTAAAACCACGCACAGTTCCTGTTCCACTGTTTGACCCCGTAGATCAGCTGTGAATCGTAAAGTTCCATGTGGGCATTAGCTTTAACACGTCGCGTTTTCAGATATTTTCCGGGTTGACGGCCTCTCCTTACCATTCTGCCTCAGATGTCTCAGAGTTCTGACCCGCACAATTTGGTTGATCCGTACCATCACCTCCAACGTCTGCCAAAGATCAACGAATGTCAACTTTGATGGAATTCATTCCAGAAAACTCACACTGTTCTTGTATTGGATGGTCCAACTTGATTTCCATACCTGCAGTTCATGTCGGGTTAGCCACTTCTGATAAATTCCAGCATGGAACTCCGCTGTTCAGTTCGTCGGAAACTTATGATCACACCCCAGGACACGGCACTAGCTAACTCATGTGCCTGAGAATCCGTACCATTGTTTACTCAGTTATTGTTGTTGCCACACAGCCTGCCGCAACAAATGAGAAAAAACAAGTAAAATTGTCTGTGACCACACGCTGGTTTCACAGGTGCTAGCTTACCCACCTGTGCGGACTAAGAATTCCATGAAAACAGGTATTGAAATGAACAAATTTATTTAGTTGTTGCCAAGGTTCCGGTTTAGAATAACATCTACAGAAAGTGTGGACCGGTACTTCTGTTTCGTTTTTTACTACGTTTTTGAGGGTTCAGTTGTCCTTATGCATCGCAAGGAAATTTTTACCCGGGAAGAGAAACCCGATGAGTTTCGTTTCAAATGCTTTGTTTATTCATATACTGGTCTGTCAGTTCTAAATTGTTCCCCATTTTTCCAATCTAATTATATTTCCGCAGGCACCGTCGGGGATCAACTCAGTGGAAACGCAGTGAGACTACCTGAATGGAAATGGAGAACTCGAAGTCAGGCGCACTGTCGATGTCACCCAACACTCACGCGTGCGGAATAGCTTCTCCCGTCACCTACTCCTGTTTAATAAACCTGATACGAGCAAATATCCCTTGATCATGCATTTTAGGGTGGATACGGCGAATTTGGCGTGCGCTATAGGACGATATCATCATCTAGGAAGTTCAGATTCAAGTGACGGATGATGAGCTACTTTGCTAATCAAAATTCATGAATCGTCACCCCGAATGGATAACACTGCTCCACTGAGAAAGAACCGACTTACTTTCAGCTGGCTCATCCTCGTTCTACAGAGAAATCATTATTCTCGACAGAATTCATCCCAGTTCCTGTGCTCGGATTTGGTCTGCACGTTGAAATATCAGACTATCCTCATGTGAACGTTGGTGAATTTCCACTGGTGGATGCATTTCCAAACCCGGTCCTGAAGTTTCATATCCAAGTATGCTGCTACTTCTTGAATGTGTTGATCGCAAGGTAGAGACCACAAGTTGTGAACTCACAAGCTTCTGTTTGCCCATCGTGTGCCTGGTTGCTTCTTAAAATGTAATCGAAGAGACCAGCGTGCTTGTGAAAACCGATACTTCAGGGGCGTCACTTGGACACCGATTCGTTGAATTTCCATCATTTCAAATCGAAAACCAGGACTGTGACCAATAGTGTGATTAGCAAAAACTGGACTGACCTCAACTTAATCGCCAAAATGTTTTTTTCGGATTCGAGGAATTCCTAACTTTCCCAACGAAATGTCTATCGGGTTGCCCGGACAATATAAATCAATTCGCTTAGACACTTGAGAAGTTTGTGAACGTGTTGACCAGATTTCGTGTCATCCTGTGTTCCGATTTTTCAAGTTCATTTTCAGAAGTCATTCTTCTTGACTTCGGTGACCAGACTAAGGTCGAAAGTCTCCACAGTGTAATAAAATTGTGAACAATGTTTATTCGTAATTCGATTTTGTCCGGGAGGCATGCGATTTCAATCACCGTGGATGAAATTATGAAATACGCCCTCACAGTCGAAGAAAGGAGTCATCTCTGATAAACTGGGGTTGAAAGACCACATTGCACTGAAATCTGTTGATTTGAAACAAGTTTCGCTGTCGCGAACAGGCAGAGCAATGCATCGAACGCGATCCTCGGTAGTGGAAAGTGGCATTTGTTCAAGCTGCCTAGAAATAAAGGGCTGCGACAAATGCCCATTGAACCTAAAGTGGGACACATGAACCGACCAGTTAATCAAATGGCGGTGTGGTATTTTGATAAATGACTACCTGAGAAAGAAAGAAGGCCTTCGCCGTGGTTGAGTTACCTATTAGAAAATGCCGAGTGAACAGTTACAGCAAACCTTTCATGTGCATCTTGTTTACAAAACGGAATATCCATCTCCTCCTTAAACGCGTCCTCCTGAACTTTCCTGGATATTCATTGACTGTTACTCAAATGCAAGCACATCCCACAGAGTGACTCCACGAATTCCGTGATAGATCTCACTTTTCAAGAGACACCAAGCGGGTTTACTAGAAGACAGTACTCGCATGCCTCATCAGTAGTATTCACCCTATCGCCTGTAGCAATCTGATTTCGATCACGGAAGAGGAAAACAACATGGTCCTGTCTGCCATACACTGATAGGTATTTCAATGAAAACGAGTGACTTGGGTGCATCGTGGGAACTACGGGAGCTAAGGCAGTGCCAGTACATTCAAGACCAGGCGGGAGCAACTGAGGTGTCTGTATTGAGTTTGAACAACGGAATTTCGGACCAGAGTGCTTTACCGCTTGGCTATATTAAGCTTCACAATGGTACCGGCAACCACCAGACCTACGTTAAATCTGCTAGCCCGAATCAGAATTCGTGTTCTGCGGCTTGCAAGATGAGTGCGTTATCAGTTTTCCAACCATACATGCTCGATGCACCTGAATGCTCAAGTGTCCACGGGTGAAATTGCCCACAACTGATAAACTGGTCGGGTTAACCCACGTTGAAAAAGTAATTGTAGCAAACGGTGTGAACCAGCCCACATCCGTCATCTGCTAACGTTAAAATCCATTTCGATTGAGAAATATTGGTCGTGCCCAACGGGAGAAGTTTGTTACTCGATTGTTTTTTCTTAATTTAGCAGACAAGTAACACATTCAAGATCATTGTAAGGAACAACGGTAATATAGAAACTTAGATATCAGAAACGACGATCTTCGCTTAGCCTGTTTGTGACGATTCTCCCTGGGCTCTTAGTCCTGATCTCCAAAACTGAACTTGAGCCCCCGTCGTCATTCACAGGTGGATCCGCAGGCCCGGAGAAACGGAAGTATGTTAGGCTGCCTCATATGAAATACCACCGGTCCTTCAGCTCGGGATCACTGCACAACTGGCAAACCGGTCGCGCAACTTCCAGTTCCGGTGCGAGAGCGTCCAGTTCCGCGGGATCCCGCAGCTCCTTCCAGCTCTTTGCCGGACAACCAAAACTTGGGGATAATGCGTGAACTGCTCTTCGGGGGACACTTTAAACGAATCTTATTCGGTCATTAGCAAACGGCATGAGTAAACGGTAGCATACCCGATACGCCGTAAATAGGACCGAGGAACTCGACAGGTTCAATTTCCTTGTCTGTTGGGATAGATGCACTACGGTTGGCGCATATGATCCTGCGATTTCCGCGTGTGACATTCGATGGCATGGAGATGGGTTACACATGGACTTCTTGTTTAGAAGGTGTTGGGTGATTGGCGTGAGTTGTTCTAATCTGCGTCCTTCGCAGAAACAACTGAACCCAGGAATCTTTACTTTGTCTCCGGTCCGTTCGGGTGCCTAGCCAGCTGCCTTCCGTTTTCCTGGCTTCACCGCAATGCTGAGAGAACTCACGCCGATACACTGTTCCTTACGTAGTAATACAAGGTCTGTTTAGCTACTTAGGCCATTTTGGCGGGGCGTTTGAAGAGTAACCCGTGACCCGCATGTTTGGGCCGACGGCTAGACGCACACCCAAAATTTCTCGGAAACCATGGTTGGTAGGAGGGAAACTTTAACACAAAGTTTTAACATTTCATGGTAATTTTTCGGGCGTATGAGATCATCCCAAACGGCCGCAGTTTTGTTGAAAGTTGTTTAAGCCTACTAAATCCCCACGATGTTCAAGGCTTGCGATATTCATATTTTAATGGCTGATATGGCTGAGCACGTAAATGCATGCGTAATGCATGCACGTAATGCATGCTTTGTCGAAAGCGAGCATTTTGCGCCATTGCGAAAGCTGTTCGGCTTGTTCAAGGATATGGTGGGTGGACAATATGCAGTCAAAACGTTCCTCATGGACAAGATGACTACGCAGATGCGGGCGGCCAAAACTGTATTTGGTTGCGATATAATGCTGTGCTATTTTGACGCACGGCAGGCATTCCGGAAGCACGTAGGTTTCATTGCTTTGGTGTAGCTGTTGGAGACAATTTCCAATCGCAGTCGGAACATATTCCACCGCATGGCTCCCTTTGATAATGCAGCTGAGTAAGTAACCGCACCAAACATTAATCGCAAAGATTTCGCCGCCCCTGAGGAGAACAGATCCCAGTTTTGTCTCTTATTTGACTGCCCACTGGCTCCTCATCACTCGAAAGTGGACCATTCATGCACAAGGTGGGTTGGTACATTTTGAGAATGTGACCAACCACCGCCTGGAGAGCGTCAACGGGCGTTTGAAGAGGCGCATGCAACACCCAGATAGCCTGGAGCATGCCGTGATGACGAGGAATTCGTGTGATTGTAACTCGAAGGCCTCAATTGCCGAACCAATGAACCCATGGCAATCCGCAACGACTATACATTTATCCCTCATCCCGGTAATGGGAATTATAAACGACTAGGTAAGCAAACAAATAACATTCCATTACATCCAAACGCTTTAACGTTGTTCCCCAAGGTTAATTGCTTGCCCATGTTTTGTTTCAGAATCCTTGTCCCGTGAATTGGATCTTAAGAAAATGAAAAATGGAGCGACTACAAAATAAGCTCCTATCAGTGATGCCAATGAATAAAATGCAATTTGTTAATGGTGTTTTCGTAAATTCATGGCGGGCGCATTATCAACGCGTGGAGTTATGAGTATGGGGCGTCGTCGTTGGCCATTGTATTAAGTTGGCTTGCATAGGTTAGGCCTCATAATCTGCGCCGCGAATAGCAGTTACGCTAAGTTGTCGAGGCGAGCGACAGCTCATTGTTTCGAGTAATGGAGTGAGTGGTCGAGGGGGTACAATCAGGAGTAGGAGTTGGGAGTGCGCTATCAAATTGGGTGGTGATTGCAGTTTGACAGGTGATGACGACCGTTGATCGTTGGGTTAGTCTATTATGTGTTGCCGGGGCATTATGGTTAGCTACGAGCATGTGAGCGGGCCTGCCAGTTACTATAGGTAGTCACGCTGGTTACGTCGACTACAGTTGCGATGTTTACTGAAGGTAGCAAACATAAACGGCATCGATTAAGTATGAGTTTGACGATAAATAGCCAAGTTAGGTGACTTCGAGTACAGTTGTGAGTAAAACAGGCTGAATTATTCTTGGTGTGGTGGTTCAACGGAATACGGAACTACGGAATCTCCTATTTTGAACTGTGAGCCAAGATTTACTTGGATTTTTCTCCTTGTAACGTTGTACCTGGCTTACATTAGTAATTTTTTCTGTTCACTAGAGAC